TACTAACCCATCACCGCACGCTGAATGAGTGCTCCCAGAGGGGTCCCTGCAGCGAGTCCTCCTGTCACACGCTCTGAAGCCCCATGACAGCGATGCTCGTTCCTGGCATCTCTCCCCCTGACTTTTTTCTGACAAAGGGATCGATACTTTGGGTCTAGTTGGAAAATCAATTTTCCACCGGGCAGCCCTTGAAGGACCACTGGCAAAATGTGCACTGAGCCAGCGACCCCGGGAGGGGACAAGATCCATCTGGCCTCACTGACTGTATGAGAGTGGTGAAGAGGGGAGGAGAAGGGAAGGTTTTACAAATGTGTATCCCTAAATGGGTCCATGAAGTAGTCTCCTTGGGGTTCATGTTTGAAAACGGTTGTGTCTGCCTCGAAGCTGCTGCAAAACGTGTCCCATGAATTTGGTTGCCTGTTTCACACCAGTGAGGACGTTGAATGTGGAAATTATTCATGGTTGCTCCTGGAGTTAGTTGCACGTTGCCCTCCATCCCTCCTTGCTGTCACAAGCAGAGGATGAGGCTAAATACAAGGGCTGAAGGATTGTTGGTGTCATCATATCCAGCCAGGGGCTGCTGAAAGTCCCCTATTCCTTTGTCCAAATTTTAGCAAGTGGAAGATCTCTCCTTTTCCATTGAGTTGGCTTTCTTTTGTCCTCTGAGTGCTGCCAGAGCTGACTTTCACCTCTCAAGTCTTCCTGACAGCCCCCCTGGCTCCAGTGAATCAGCTCAAGCACGCCAGGTCGGGGGGCCCTGAGAGAGTCCCTCCACGGTGTGGGGCATCCCTTGACATCCCAGCAAAGAGAAATTGGGTAGTACCAGTATGTTCATATGCTGCTTGGGGGGGGGGGGGGGGGGGGGACGGACCAGGCAGGGACCCCACTTCCCAGGAAGAAATTCCCTTTCCCATGGTTTTCTGCAGGAGATGCCCGTGCAGGGAACAGCAAAGAGCAAAGCTGGGCTTGAGGAGTATTTCAACATCCCCATCTTCAGTAAAGGTTTGCCCTGGTACACCTGACACCAAAATTTCAGGGGAAAGGGCACAAAAAAGACAGGAAGCCATTTCCACTGGATTTATACAAAAGGCAGGACAAATGAGTGTGAAAACAGGTCTTTTGAAAAAATTGCGTCTGAAATGTGCCTTTCCGTAGGTAACAAAGCCTTTCCATAGGTGACAAAGCTATTTTCACTACGTCTGGAATAGCCTTCATCTCAGCAGAGAGGAAGAGAGCAGGACCCCAGCGAGCAAGAGGCACTTGGCTCCGCGAGAGGTTTTCAGAGAGGCAGTGGGTGAGTAGCGATTGCAGAGCTGGGAAAGCTCCCGGCGAGGGAGACCGGCAGCCTGCTCTTTGAGGAGAAAATAGAGAGTTTTGTTCTCTAGATCTAGACCCTCGTAAAGGGCAGAGAGAACTAGGCCGTGTGAATTAAGGGCCACCATCTGGCCCTGCGCAGGGAAAGCAGCGGATGGGGCTCGGCGAGCTCCACTGTGAAAGGACCAAAGCGGGCGAAACCCAGTGCGGAGGGAGGCAGGGTCAGGCGGGGGCTCGCTGGCTGCCAGGAGAGCTTCAGCATCCTCCATCGAGACCCGAAGAGGGAACCACATGCCTGTCCCCCCCTGGCAATGCACGGCAGCACCAGCTCAGCCCTTCCAGCTGCCCGCGTTGGGGCTCTACAGATCCCTCCGGTTCCTGGTGCAGAAGAAGGGGCTGCCTGATGTCCCCCGCCATCCTGCGCCATCCCCTACCGTCCCCTGCCCATGTGGTGCTTTTGTATGAGGATGCATCCCGGCAGGTTTGCATCCTGGCAGCGGGCTGCTCTGGAGGGCAGCGTGGTCTAGAGAGCAGGGTGCCAGCCTAAATTGCATCTTATAAATCAAGAAGAGGAACCAGGAGCGTTTTGATCTCTTCTCCTGCGTCACACGGCAGGGTTTCATTGAAGGCACCTTGCCTGTGGTTTCTGGAGGAGCCGGGATGCATCTTTCGGAAAGGCTCTCGGCTCTGATTTAACTATGTCAAGCGATGGAGAGGGCACCGTGCCTTCAGCTGAGTTATTTCACAGTCTGATTATCCTCCCCTGAGGAAAAAACAGGTCCAATTTCTACTCCAAACTGTGGACTCTTGCTTTGACTTTATCAGATAAAAGAGCCTTCATGTACAGAAGCCTTCCCCCAGGCAGCCTCCCTTTTGCTGGTGAAAGAGCTGGAGCATCTTTAGTCTCCAGACTGGTTCTCCAGAGTTGAACCCTTTCCAAAGTTCTGGAGGGATTTTTCAAAGCCTGGGTAAGACACCGCAGGAATCAAAAGATCTGGGTTGCGTTCCTGAGCTCCTCTGCTGTGTCACACTGGGCAATTTTTTTCTTTCTATTTCTCTTTGTTTCTGTGATTTATGTCCTGGGAGTGCAGCTCTAGGGGACAGGGCTCTTTCCTGGAGCAAGGACCGCACGGGGGCTCACACTCTGGAGCCTGGAGCTCAAGTGCAATAACAAGGTTCTTGATATTAACTAAGAAAGACTTCAAAAGAGGAATAAATTAAAACAAATTGCAGAGCTGAAGCTTTTGTCATTTACCCAGGTGCAAGCCGTGACTATCACCGTGAAGGTCAATGAAGCGAGATGTGTATAAAAACAAAGGAGGGGGAGAAAAGAGATTCCCCTTCGGGGACGTGCTGTTGCTTCCTTGGAAAAGGTGCTGTTTCAAGAGCCTTATCTGGTACCGCTGCGGAAAACAAGGGGGGTTCTTCTGTTCTGAGGTCTAAGACACCCAAACTGATGTCACCCTCTATGGTCCCAGCGACTTAAAGTGAAGCTGATCCCACGATTGAAAATTTTTCTATGGAAGAAAGAAACTCTCATTGCGAGTCTTCTGCACTTCTCGAATCTATTTTAAGCCCCGTGAGCTCCAGCTGCACCTGAGTACACACAGTGCATCCTGAGCTGCATCAACAACATGCTGCCCTGTGTCACAGGGTTAATGGGATGCTGCTCAGGTGGTTTTTGAAGGCACTTTCAACAGTGCACCCAGCAGAGAAATACAGCCACGTGTAGCTCGCTAGTCCCCCTTCCTTCCCCTCCCCTGATTTTTGGTGAGAACTGATTCACCAGCAGGGCATCTCGCTGAGAGCACTGCCAGAGGGAAGGTGATGCCCGTGGTAAAATAAAAAAAACCTTCTAAGGCACCGGGGCAGGATGTGTTCAAACCCCATCGTACCACTGATGCTTTTGGCCTCGTTGCGCTGCTTTTGATAAAGTCAAGGAGAGCTTAATGCTTTTTAAAGGTCCTCAGCTTTTATGGGCTATAAAGCATTGACCTTAAAGGGAGGTGCTGAGGGAAGTATATTAAAGACAGATCTATGTAGGATAGTCGGCCACGCCGGCTTTCCCACGGCTGCTCTCCAGACTGCCTTTCTCTAAGCTTTCTTTACACTAATGTGTTTATTACCTTCCTAGAGAAGAGCTGCCTGAAGCCACAGGGTGCTGCTGACACCCACTCTTAGAAGGTCCGGGGCAACCCTCCCTTGGATGTTTGCTGATGGCAACACACAGAAGTCTTTTTCCAGTTTGTTCTCGGCTCTTTGTCCCCACTGAGCCCCAGCTTGGGGTCACCGTGCTGCAGATTTCCCGCTTTCTGCTGAACACTGGGCTCTGTGATCCAGGGATTTGGAAAAGGCCCTGTGTCAGCTCTTCACTGCAGCGAACCCATCTCCTGCTCCAGTAATAACCAGTACCAGAGGACTCCGGAAGAAAGAACCCTTTGCAATGAGCAATCAAGGGGGGAAATCCTCTTGCAGGTCCCCTGCTAATTGCAGTCCTGTGGCAAGTGATTTCTATTAAAACATTCAACAACCATTAAGAGAACGAGATCTGCATTACATTTCGAACCTCTGCAAAAGGGGGATGATGCTGTTCACCTGCACTGCCAGATACTGAGAGACCTGGTAGTATTTATGAGGTCCTGGGAAATGTGTGATTTGGAAAGCATTCAAGGAGAGTGTGTGAGAGAGAAATGAGGAGTAGGCAGCCCCCAGGGGCCTTGGGGAGGGGAAAGGCACAGCCAGAGCAGCGTGGGGTGAGCACTGCCTGCAGCCCGCCATCTCCATGGGTGCACCAGCAGGACCCTGGCAGGGTGCCGGGGAGAGGATGCCGGGGAGAGGGTGCTGGAGCCAGAGCAGCGTGGGGTGAGCACTGCCTGCAGCCCGCCATCTCCATGGGTGCACCAGCAGGACCCTGGCAGGGTGCCGGGGAGAGGGTGCTGGGGATGATGCCCTGCAGGGCAAGAGGGTGGTCACCGTGCTCCTACTGCCTTAAATTAATTTGGATCTGAGCCTCACAGTGGATGTTGCTCCTGGAGGGCTCGGTTTGGGAGGGCATCTTTGCTTGGAGGTTGGTGCTGGGGGGGGGATCCCTCTGCACCCACACACCCCCGGAGAGAGGGGGCACCTGAGCAGGTCCTAAAGCTGCCGGGTGGCAGGGCTGGAAGGAGGGA